TTCCATAGGGGCTGAACCAGTTTGCAGCCCCACCAGCAGTGGATGAGTGTTCCCCTTTCCCCACATCCCCTCCAACATTTGGTATCATTTGTTTTCTTGATCTTAGCCAGTCTGACTGGGGTAAGGTGAAATCTTAAAGTGGTTTTAATTTGCATTTCCCTGATTATTAGTGATGTTGTGTCCAAGGTCATTTTTAAGACATCTGGAAGTTACACGTTGAGATTCAAACCCAGGCAGGTGCCCTACAGAGTCTTAGCGCTCACCGACTCTATCAAGATCAGGGATCTTAAAAAGAGTATTTAGAGTATGTGGACATTTGGATGTGATTATATGATCCTGAGCAGCCATGTTTGAGTCAGTGTACTTGTGTGTGTTGAGCTTTGCCACTCACGGTCGGTGGAAGAGACCATTTCACAAACACAATGTGATCTTTGTTTTCCAGCTTCCATTGTGACTGAGAAGTGGTGGTGTCACATGAATCCTTGCTTGGAAGGAGAGGACTGTAAAGTGTTGCCCGATTCCTCAGGTTGGTCCTGTAGCAGGGGCAATAAAGTCAAAACTACAAAGGCAAGTACGGACAAAACGCAACTGTAATTTACAGCTGCAGTATACTGCAAACTCGGGGGATTCCTGCTGTGACTTGATCCTGCCAGCAAGGGAACATTATTTTATGTTGATAAACCTGCTCAGGGTGTGCTACCCTGTGGCTTCTGTCTTTCAGGAAAAGTCCATTTGCCAGTGTCCCTGTGTTTCAGGTTTTACAGAGCAGTGTTTTGGTGGGTGAACTCTTATTTTCAGCAGGGCCCCTAAATTCATTTCTGCTCCTTCATGACCTCGATTTAGAGGAAAAGTTTCAGGGTTGACAGGGCTGTGTGTCAAAACGCCATAGCAAGAATCCACAGCTAGACAAAGTACTCAGTAGAAAAACCTGCTGCTTTAGGGCTCGGAGACCAGCTGGTTGAGATTCTTACTCAAGTTTTGTACTCCCCCCCCCCTGCCCATCTTGTGCCTGAAGGGAACTACGGGGCATTAAGTTCTTCAGTAGAAAGCAAACTTCCTTGTGTGCCTATGTCTACTTGGTAGTTGGCTTGGGGGATGTTTTACTACCAAATCCTCCATGAGTGCCTTCCTATGCTTGTACCTCCCATTCAAGTCACTGAGACATCCACATAACTAAGTTGCTCCTTTCCAGTACAGACTCCATATGGTGGCCAGAACAGTCTTTGTGAGATGTCAGTCTTTCAAGCTAATCCATCCTAAACCCTCCCAGCAGTTCATTGGCTCCTGATAGACGATCCTGCAAGATGCTCACCCTTCTTTCTGTTCCAAACCTGATCTTCTGTTAGTTCCTCTTATCATGGTACCTCAAGGAGCCTGTTCCCTCTCTCTACCCCACCAACATGCCATCTCGGCCACTCCCAATAACTTACAAGCTACCTAAACCCACTGAACTTGCTAAACAAATTCTTCCTCAAGATAACTCTGCTCCCTGCTCCCACCACTTTCTTCTATCTTCCCATAAATATTTTCTAAATAAAAATATTGAAGTCTCCCACGAGGTTAAAAAAAAAACACCAAAATTTCCTTCTGTCAGTGATAAAAAATTCTTCAGCTGTATTTCTTGTAGACTAAGAGATAACATTTTAGAAGATTAAATTTGTATTGATTTTTAGATATAAATGTAAAACAAGATTGAATGGAAGCTAACTGAATTCTGGAAAAGAATGTGTCTAAGTAATTCTCTTAGTAGGGCCTCCTCCCCCCCCCCCCGTTAGCAAGGGCATTAGCAGAAAGCAAACTTGTAGGGGCATTTTGGCTGTGTGCGCTGGGAATATCAGTTTGCTCTAGCTAAATTCTCAATGGTAGTGACATTTCATCTAGTACTTAGGAAGTTATAGGAACATAATACAAGTCCCCAAGCCATCGTGATACTTCAGCTGCTTCTTTTCCAGTGACATGCCATTTGAGAATAATCTGAAAATTGTAAAACTCTGTTTCCTTTATTAATCCGAGTCAGCGTGCCTTGAACTGCATAAAACATTTTATGTCTATTGTGGATCATATACACATAGAAGAAGTTCCTCTGGGGAGCCCAGACTGCCTTCCATGGTGAGCCTGGTGTTTTGGAAGCTGCATCTTTTCCTTGAGAAGGTTCTGACCTCACACTACAGGAGAGACTGCAGTCCTATGAAAGCAGAGCAATTGCCTCCCTGGAGGAGGTATTAACTATACAACAAAGCAGTTTCCATTTTCCTTAAAGAGTTCATACACAGCAACATCGAAACACAGAGAAGCTAAAAAAGACAGGTCTTTCATAGTAAGCCACCTACGTCAGAATTTTATTTCCCATTTAAATGCAAATACAGGAAGAGTTAGACCTCAACTTGAGATATTAATGGCTTGTCTGAGATATGAAAGTAAGAGAGAGGACAGTTCCTTACTGTCATCAGCTGCAGGAATAAAGGGATGACATCCCATTTATTCTCCTCAGGTAGTTTTCAATGTCTCCAGAGAAAGTGCAGAGACTACTTCCTGTGGGAAAATGTAACTCTCGATGCTCTCATGCCTTGGTTTGGTTTTCCTTTTCCTAATGTATCTCTGAGTTTTGTTGCATTTTTCCATGTGGTCTACTCCCCTTTTTCAAGTTGTTAATGCTAAGCCTTCTAAGGAGCACCTAGTGTCTTTGTAGCACCCACAGCAAGGATGTGTCAGGGCATTTTAATATTTGTCAGTAGAAATAAATAACATTGACTCTTGAGAGAGTTTATGGTTTTTGGCATTCTAAATTTTAAACTGCTAATAAGGGGGAAGAGCCATATTTTTAAGGAGTAGTTCTCAACCAGGACACATTTTGCCCCACTGTGGTTACTGGGATATATGTGAGGAGATTTTTGGGTTGTCACACATTGGGGTGGAGATGCTACTGGCATCTGTGGGTCAAGGCCAAGGATGGTGATAAGCATCTTGCAAAAGATGATTGTCCCGTCAACCAACAGTGCCTAGGCTGCATCACTATTTTAGAGAACGGTCTGTTTTCTCAGGCACTTTATGTAGCCTTCCTACCTGATGCTTTGCCTTCATCTGTTACCACCCCCAATCCCCTGTGTTTGGGATTGAACTGAGGGACGCACACATGCTAGACAACTGCTCTGCCACCAAGCTGCATCCCTAGATCTCTCTTTATCTTCTGTAATTTTGAGACGAGTTCTTAGGAATTTTCCTAGGCAGGTCTTGCACTTGCAATCTTATCTCATCTCCCCCAGTGGCTGGGACAATAGACCTGCACTCATGTGTCTGGAAACTACTTCTGTTTCTTTATATTTTCTATTGAATGCCTCACATTTCCTCAGATTTCATTGGAAATGCCAAGATGGAGGAGCTAAGATGGAATGCATGTCTGTTTATACCTTGAAAAACTTCAGTTTCTCTGATGATCGTAATAGCACCCTATGAAACTCACATTGGTGAGATCAAGGAGAAAAATAAAATTTTAATCAACAGCAATACACAGAAATTTATGAGATGGGAACAGTCATTTCCTTGTTCCCGTCAGCATATCCCACGACCTAGCCCTATCTAGTACCTTCCTCAAAGGATGCTTTAGTTGGGACCTTTCTGTCTTCTGGATACCACCATTGATCATTGTCATAATTATGTAATGGTTTCATGGGTGCAGAACATCCCTAAGGGGACTTGTTGAAACCATAGCTTTAGACCCCACTTCTTGGATGTTTGATACAGTGGGTGTACAGATGGGCTTAGAAAACAGACTTAGAAAGTAGTGTCTTTAAGAGGATCATGATGAAAAGCTAAAATGAATGAGTCCAGTCTACTTTGCCTCCTGCAGTTGCCATCTTTAATAACTTATATCCTGCTGTCTCTGCTACCGAGGCAGATCCCTCATCCAGCTTCTTCCCAGATAGGATACCATAATCAAGTCTTGAGTGGTAACTGCTATAAAACACAAAGTACATACACCTGAGTGGGTCTTCCCTGCCAGCCACCCCATAGGCCATATCTTTCTCTACACCATCACTCCCTTCTTCCCTAAGATGCTCCCTCAAGATACCTCACCCAAGAGTCTTATGTTCCCTGTGCCCTATAATCAAGGCTTCAAGTGCCCATGGGACCCTGATACATGGAAGTACAGCCAGTATTAGCATGTTAGCAACTTTGCATCTGTTGCAGTTGGCTAAAATTATCGATCAGTCGTCTATGTACACCATCTTCTCACAGATTGATGCACTTATTTACTTGTCATACCTCTCCCTCAGGTTATTCCTTTTACTGCATCAACAAACTATGAACCAGATCTAGTCTTTGCTTGCTTTTTATCTTGCCCGTTGTGGTGGTTTGAATGAGAATGCTGCTCATAGGCTCCAAGTATTTGGACATTTTTGTCCCCATTTGGTGGTGCTGGTTGGGAGGTCTTAGAAGGTGTGGCTGTGCTGGAGGAAGCATGTCACTCCCTCAGGTTATTCCTTTTACTGCATCAACAAACTATGAACCAGATCTAGTCTTTGCTTGCTTTTTATCTTGCCCGTTGTGGTGGTTTGAATGAGAATGCTGCTCATAGGCTCCAAGTATTTGGACATTTTTGTCCCCACTTGGTGGTGCTGGTTGGGAGGTCTTAGAAGGTGTGGCTGTGCTGGAGGAGGCATGTCACCAGGGGTGGGTTTAGAGAGTTTTTAAGCTTTGCTGGATATCTATCGCTCTCTTGCTTCCTGTGCCTGCTTGATGATATGTGAGCTTAGCTTCTGCTCCACCTCCACCTACCTCTGTTGCCATGCCTCCCCACTATGATGGACTCTTGCCCCTTTGGAACTATAAGCTCAAATAAACTCCTCCTTCTATAAGTTTCTTTGGTCAGTGTTTCTATCACAGCCACAGGAAAGTAACTAATACACCCCTGCTCTAAGAATAGGCTCTGTGTTTTTCCATGATTAGAAAAAAAAAAAGCAAAAGGAAACTATTTCTTTCATAACACATGAGACTGATATGAAACTCCCATTTCAGCATCCATTAAGAATATTTTGTTGGAACTAATCAGTGCCTAGGGCTTTACCTGTTGCTTGTGGCCGTAACTGTGACATTTGAGCACAGTGACTATCTGACCTGCAAAGCACAAAATCTGGGCTACGCCTAATTCTTTGCACAAAAGGTCTTCCCGTTCTACTTCTAGAATATAAGCTCTATTAGGACCAGGCGTGATGACTATGTTATCAAATAATATAGCTTATTCTGAAAATACTGCATAGTATAAATGTGTTAAAATGTTATGTTGTTGTTCCCCCTCCCTCCCCACCGACCACCCAAGCTGGTGCGCTGAGTATAGAACTTGCAAACTTTTCCTAGGTCTTAGGTAATGAGCCTATGTATTTGAAAATGAAAAACTCGACAGCCTTCCATTAAACTGACCATTTCTGTCAAATAGCTTTTGCTTTTAAAAACAGATTAACTGCATTTAAAAATGTAACAAAGATTAAATTTGATCTTGACATACAATTATTTTAATCAGCATGCATTTGAAAACAAAATTCAGTGCCATTAACACAGTATGCTTAGTGTGCATGAATTAATGGGTAATGCATGTA